GCAAAGGTGTGGAGAGGTGATAGGAATATCTCTTGAGAGACACAACACAGAAGATACTGTTCTTTAAGAAAGCAAGATATAACTTTTAATTTCAGCTGTACATACCCGAGGCAATCATGGGGCCTCATTTCTAAACTCGAATGACTCAGGAATTGCTGTAATCCCTGATGATCTTACACAGCTGCCTACGGACCTTCACAGAGGAGCACAATCAATGGCATGCACCTGTCCCTCTGACCTCAGCCCTCCCTGAGGATGTCTCCTATTCCTGGTGTGTGAGAAAGCCTTTCCCACCCCGTTTGCTCTGTGCCCTGGTGGGAAACACGTCTCATCTTCTCATGGCTGGGGAGCACCTGCGTGGGAGTTGTGGGTGTCCGGCCAGAGACCATAGCATCAAGCTTCTCTGTAGAGAGAATTAGGCTGCTGGCTGCCAGAAACAAAGTGCAGTGGAAAACAGGCACCTGGAAGAAAACAACACTGGTGTCAATCTACCGTCAGTAAGAAAGGATTATTTTTTTAAAATTCATTTCAACTCACTGATACTTCAAAATTTTTGTGTCAGAGCTTATGCAATAAAGAAATGTTTTCATTTTAACTAAGCATATATTTAAGCATTACAGTAAAAGTTGTTTGATTTTTCAATGCATGCTGCTGAAATAATAATTTAGAAATTAAAAAAAAGCCTATTTTTGAAACTTTAGTACCCTAGACAAAAATACAGGGATATGTAAATTAAAGCTAAGTTATGGTTGGCAAATCATCATTTGGAAAAACAACGATATTGTTATTAAGAAGAGAATCAAAAGAAATAAAATGCATTAGAAAACAACCACAGATAGAATTTTTGAAGAAAGTGGTATTGTTTTATTAGGCTGAGTAAAGTAATAATATTAATATTAATATTCACTATTATTAGTGAATATCTTTGATGCGGAACTATTGGTGTTGCTACTAACATTTGAAACATTAGGGCAGCTGCTTTGGCAAGGCAACAGTGCCTTAGACTTTGTCAACTGGGGTGAAGGACAGCCCTCAGAGGACCAGCTTGATTACTGCGTGGAGTTGTCTGCATTCTCTGGCTACTGGAGAATCCTTCCTTGCTCTTCCCAAAAGGGTTTTATTTGTAAGAAACCAAAGAGTAAGTGACTTCTGTAATATTTGCTCCTGATGTTTATGGTTTCATTACAGTAGTAACAGGACAATATGGTCATTACAAAAGACTGACACAAAACGCTGTATTTGTAGTCAGTCCCCATGACCTCTTTCAGTGTTCAGAAAAAAATAATATGAATATATAGTTATCCTTTTTTTTTGTCTGACCTGTTCATTATTTATTGCTTCATAACTTCAGATTTTCTTGCATTCTGTAATGAATATTCAATTAATAACTAAAGATGATCCCTATTTTCTGAAAAATTTTTAAACTCCTTTGTCATTTTGCTTTCCTCCAACATACACACATATTTTCCTGCTAACATTAATATTCACTTTCTACTGAACAAGGGTTCAATAATTTGCTTTTCTTCCTCTTGCTGTGCTATGATACATGCTGTTCCAGCAAAAGATAGATGAAGCAATTCCATTTAAATAATAACAGAACAGAAGCATGATCCAGAGCCTGTATAGTGACCTTCGAAAGTAGTAGAAGTGTTTTGGTTAGCATTTTTTTTTTTTTTTTTTTTAATGCTGTGTTTCTGTGTAACTGAGCACCATCTGCTTTGGTCAGGAAGCAGAAATATCAGACTATTGTGAGCCAAGCAGCCATGTGTTATTTTGAGTTTAACTGTTAATTCTGCAAAAAAAGAGTATCATTTCCTGTCCTGTTTCACAACCCCAAAGTTCAGGATGTTTCTGAGGTTCTGTCCTTTCCCCTCCCCAGGCAAAGCTGCAGCTGGTGGGGAAAGCAGCCGTCCACATTTGTAGCAGTGCCAGAGCATTTTCTGAAAAGGAAAATTCTCCTTTTAGGGTAACTCTTAGTTTTCTTTGGGCACTCAGAGCAACACACACTACAGAAAGCTAATTCTTTGTTATCAGATATATCGGAAAGCAGAATCTCAGTGTCAACACATACTTTATTTGATAGGTTTGACTGTGAGTGGCCCTTAGGTGCAATGCCAAAGTACAGAAAATATTCCCTGGAACCAGGTTCTCCAGCAGAATGGGGTTTCAGTGCAAGCAAATATTACATTACAATGAGCTCTGCATCCTTCCGAGGGACAAGGTAACAGATGCATGCCCTTCGTGCTTATAAACATGCTGGAGCTCAGCACATTGCTGTGGTTCTGCTGCAACAGGCCAGCTCCCGGTGCTGCCCCGGCTTGAATGCACGCTCTACTGCCCTGCGGCTCCCGCTGCCCATGGGGCAGGTCTGCTCTTGCACTGGCCAGCACCCAGTGCGCCCAGAAAAATCTTGCAGATGGCGCCCTCTCTGCACAGCCGGGAAAAACTGCATAAGAAAGCTTGAGCTTACAAATGTAATTATAGATGCAAATGAATTATGGCAAATGAAAATCTGCTGGGTCCAAAAGGAATTGCGTGCAGTTCAGGAAAACTGTCAAATATCCTCAGCGTTTGATCAAGTTGTTCCCAGTGCCCACAGGCATGCAGACCTGGCGTAGAGGGCAAGATTTATTAACCAGGGGAGAAGAGAGAGTCCATCTAAACCCGTCAGAAACTACCTGTGCTTGGAGAATCCTTGGTCATTAAAAAAGAAGCAAGGAGGAGGCTTTACTATGCAAAACACTGCAGTTTTATTACAATGATTATCAGGCTAAAATTCAATCACACCTTTTAATCTCTGTTAATTTAGCAAATGTGTTTTCAGGAGAAGTGATGAGGTAACCTTCATGAGCAGGTTACCAGATCTTTTGCTAATTTTATATTATGTAAGAATGAAAATGTGACCTTTTTAGACGTTGACTAAACATTTATCTTTGACAGCTATTCTTAAAGCGGATGCAAACACGGACGGTAGGATTTATTTTTCCTTCCCACTAGTTTCAGAGAGGCATGAAAGCAAATACTGGGGCTTTTATATGAATTTGTATTTAACGTTGATTTGTCTTTTATATATTTATTTATACGAGCTTCATTTACTTAGTTGCCACTGAATTCATTCCCAGCATAATTGCACAGTATCTATGAGACACTTAGGGCATCCCAGGATAACTAAATGCTTTGATAAACTGATCACTCCCTTTTTTCTCCTTTTTTTACATGCTAAGATCTATGAGGGGGACTGACACAGAGATGTTATGATAGATTCTCTCCCTGGTAACTAAGGGGGAAATTAGATCAATAGTTTTCAGTATTCTTCATATTTATTCATGGCTACAGTACACCCACTCCTGTTTGCTTTGTATTTATTTACAGATGCCAAAAAGGACAAAGCACATGGTCACATGAATATGTGGATACTACTTACTTTGGTCCTCATCATTTTATTGGGGATGGGCTTTATGATTTATTTCTTATTCAAGACCAAAATTCAAAGTGAGACTGAGAGAGAGGCAAGGTGGCACAGCACACAGCTAGAATACAGCCATGTCCTAACTGGAAGGGAAGACAAAAACGATTCTACCAACAACAAAGAAAAAAACAGAGTGTTGTCTAATGGGATAACACAGACGAAACATATGTTAAAAAAAATCTTATATGGTAAAAAAAAAAAAGAAGGAACTCTTAGTAAAAGTTACAAGCATCTAATAGGTACTATGAACCAAAATCAGCAATTACTCCTTTGGTAACGATTAAGAGCTATTGCTTTATGGTCTTCAAGAAATACTCTCAGGACTAAGACTCAGTACTGTATAAAGTGCCTAAATAAACAAGAACTAAATAACAGAATTTGTGGGAATTTAGATTTAAAAGTAAAGGATTAACACCCTAGTGGTCTCTCTTTTTAGAGATTTGTGGCAGCATCACAGACAGAGCCAAGTGCAGACATACAGTGTGCACTCTCCGCACAGCACTGAGCCCCAAAGCCTGCACTTTGAGAATATATCTCACTACAGTGTATGGAAATGTGCATACTGTTACTCAAGTAAAATAGTGCTTGGAATACACAGATTTATATGAATTGTTTTTACCCTTTATTGCCACTGTCTCATACTCTTTACACAAGTATCTTCCTTGCCATAGTATTGAGAAATAAGAGAACTGCAAATACTTGTCCTTCACTCATGGCTTCAACTTGGATTTTGCAAAGATTTGCATCTTTGCAAACAGTCATATTCTTTGACTTTCAATGTTTTGTATCAATTATGAATACGAGACTACACCAATAAAGGATCTATGTATTACATAATAATACTTCGGTGCTGTTTAATTAGCATGTGGAGTTGTTATACAGTTTGGTGATCTAATGAGTCATTTACCTTGAGAGAGGCTAACAGGAGGAAACAAGGAAACATGAGCAAGGCATATGACTAAAAAGAAACATAAATAAACTATAAAATGAAGTGG